CCTGCTTAGGACTCTATCCCTGTCCCTCTGCCCCTGCCCTGCCTTCTCTTAAAAAAAAAAAAAAAAAGAATAGGGTGGGAGGTGTGTTAAAGAATGGGTCAACTGGGATTCCTGGGTGGCGCAGCGGTTTGGCGCCTGCCTTTGGCCCAGGGCGCGATTCTGGAGACCCCGGATCGAGTCCCACGTCGGGCTCCCGGTGCATGGAGCCTGCTTCTCCCTCTGCCTGTGTCTCTGCCTCTCTCTCTCTCTCTCTCTGTGACTATCATAAATAAATAAAAATTTAAAAAAAAAAAAAAAAGAATGGGTCAACTGGTTGACTCATTCATTCATTCATTCATTCAGTAAGCATTTACTGCATACCTACAGTTTCACAAGCACTGCACAAAATTCTGGGGGGAAACAGACAAGTAAAATATGGGCCTGTCCTCAACAAGCTTACATTCTAGTAGAAGAGACCAAGGTAAACACAAACACGTATAAGCTCCCTTTGGTGCTACAGAACAAGAAACGATGGGGAAGAGTGGGTACAAAGCATTGAGCACTCTAGCCTGGGACGGGAGGGAGAAGACAGGATCATGAAGTTTCCTGAAAGAACTGAGAGTCCTGAAACCCAGTGGGAATGCAAAAGATAGGAGGGCTAGAGAGGAACAAAAGAAACCAGAGAACCCACGGGAAGGAGTGAGCCACTCTAAATAACAGCTATTTGGAGATGAGAGTGGAGAAAGTTGTTCTCTCCTTAAAAAAAAAAAAAACAAAAGGGTTGGAAATGAGAACAGAAAGGAATCAGAAGTATACAAGATCACAGGGGAGCTTGGGTCGCTCAGCCGATGAGACATCTAAACTTGCACTCAGGTCACGATCTCAGAGTCCTAGGATGAATCCAGAGTCAGGCTCCCCTCAACAGGCAGTCGGCTTCGCCCCCTCCCTCTGCTCCTCCCCTAGCTCATGCTTACTTCCCTCCTCTCTCTTTCTCTCTCCTCTCTCAAATAAATAAATTTTTAAAAGTTCTTTAAAAGAAAAAGAAGTATAGAAAATCTTAGAAAAGTTTTCCCTTTCAGATCATATGATCATTAATCAAGAGAAAAAATATCATTCTGTTCGATTATTTACATATGGGCTTGTAAGCAAAAATATGTTCTTGGTAAAACTAAAAATATGATTTCTATTTCTTCATAATAAAGGTAAGAGCTACCCTTCATCCATGTTAATGGCTAAAACAATGACAGAAATCTAAAACAGTGACTAACAAATATTTACATTTGACCTAGAAATGCACTATCATATTTTTTATTTTTTTAAAGATTTTATTTATTTATTCATGAGAGACACACAGAGAAAAGCAGAGACATAGGCAGAGGGAGAAGCAGGTTCCCTGCAGGGAGCCTGATGCGGGACTCCAACCCAGGTCCCTGAGATCATGACCTGAGCCAAAGACAGCCGCTCAACCATTGAGCCACCCAGGTGCCCCAACTATCCTATTTTTTTACAACAAATGTACCACCGCACTTATTTAATACTGTTAATTTTTTAAAAAAATAACTTTTATTGTTTGCCTACATTTCTTATCAGTCCTTAAAGATGGACTCCTAGAAAAAGGAATTGCCAGGCCAAAGAGTTTGAATATTTGTAAAGCTCTTGGTACATTATTAGCTTAGGCTAAAGTTCACACTAGATTGACAACATCTACTGAAGATGACCAAGTAATATACATGGGTATTCAGTGTTGCTGTAAATAATAACCAAAAAAGAAATACTCAGAAAATCTAAAAGTATTATAAGTAGATCTTAGGCTTTGAATGACTATGACTAAAAAGAAACCAGGGTAAATTTTTGTTTATGATGATATTCAGGCCAATTAGTGTGTCTGTGTGTGTGTGAACATGTAGGTGCATAAATATTGGATGTAAATACAGAAAATATGGACAAAGAAAAATAAAAGTAGAAGGGCCCATAATTTCTGAATGAGGTAATAATGTAATCATTAAATCAACCACTTGTGGGGATCCCTGGGTGGCTCAGCAGTTTGGCACCTGCCTTCAGCCCAGGGCGTGATTCTGGAGACCCGGGATGAAGTCCCACATCGGGCTCCCTGCATGGAGCCTGCTTCTCCCTCTGCCTGTGTCTGTGCCTCTCGCTCTTTCTGTCTCTCATGAATAAATAAATAAAATCTTTAAAAATAAATAAATAAATAAATAAATAAATAAACAAACCACTTGTAAATAGGTACATATAATTTATTTTATACCTCCCACCATTTGTTACCCAACTCTGTATAGCCGTAAGTTTTCAGTTTTAGGGCAGCCTGGGTGGCTCAGCGGTTTAGCGCCGCCTTCAGCCCAGGGCCTGATCCTGGAGACCTGGGATCGAGTCCCACGTCAGGCTTCCTGCATGGAGCCTGCTTCTCCCTCTGCCTGTGTCTCTGCCTCTCTGTTTCTCAAATAAATAAATAAAATCTTTAAAAAAAAAAAAGTTTTCAATTTTAATAATCAAGTGCTAAAGTTAGAGGAAAACCTCACATGTTAAATAAAGGTCAACAAATTGGTTTTTGATGTAGGTTAGGTTACCTCTCTATTTCTATAAATTAGGGCTCCGCACAGTACTTTTTTCATATGCCTCCAGAAAGGAGTAACTAGTGCAGTTTAAGAAGTGACTCAAATTTTTCAAAAGTCAGAGGACAAAGTCACCAATGAAGTTTCTTGAAAGGCAAATCTGGTGCTATTGTAAAATCACATCTCCACCTCACACTAGTCAGAATGGCTGGTATCAAAAAGACCAGAAATAATAAGTGTTGGCAAAGACATGGAGGAAAGGGAACTCTCATGCCCTGCTTGTGGGAATGTAAATTAGTGCAGCCACTCTGGCAAGCAGTATGGAAGTTCCTCAAATAACAAAAATAGGAGTATCATATCGTCCAGTAAGCCCTCTTCCAGGCACTTACCTGAGGAAAATGAAAACACTAATTCAAAAAAATATATGTACACCTATGTTTGTTGCAGCATTGTTTATAATATGTAAGATATGGTAAGAACTTAAGTGTCATCTATAAATGAACTAAGATGTAGTATGGGGATCCCCGGATAGCTTGGCGGGTTAGCACCTGCCTTCAGCTCAGGGCGTGATCCTGAAGTTCCAGAATCAAGTCCCACATCAGGCTCCCTGCATGGAGCCTGCTTCTCCCTCTGCCTGTGTCTCTGCCTCTCTCTCTATCTCTCTCTGTGTCTCTCATGAATAAATAAATAAATAAATATTTTTTTAAAAAAGAGGATATAGTACAGAATAGAATATGGAATACACAATGGAATATCACTCAGCCATTAAAAAAGAATTAAATCTGGCCATTTGTGACAGCACAGATAGACCTAGCCAGTATTACACAACATGAAAGAAGTCGTCCAGAAAGACAAATAACATACAATTTCATTACACTGGAATAAAAAAAACAAAAACAAAAGCAAAAAACAAAGCAAACAAACAACAAAAAGAGAAACCGAGTCATAAATACAAACTAGTTGCCTGAGGAAAGGGGGATGGGGAGGATAAGTGAAATAGGTGAAGAGGATTAAGAGCTAGACACTTCTAGTTATAAAATAAGTAAGTCATGGAAAAGTACAGCATGGGGAATATAGTCGATACTATTGTAATAACTTTGTAAAAAAAAAATTCAAATCTCCCTAAAAACATGCTTTTTTGACATTGCTGCATGGAAGTGTACAACAATCCAATTTATCACCAATTACCCATATATTCTGAAATACCCAAACGTTTCCCAAAAATGTGGTGCGGGGGTGGGGGGGGGCCTCAAGTACATTGATTTTAATTTGAGAAGTCAACCGGAAGTCAACCTGTGCATCTTCCATCCCCTGAGACATTCTTCTCTCCTTCTTGCCATAACAAAGAAGTGAATTCCTCTACAATAATTATAAGCAGAAAGTTTACATCTTACAGAACACTGAGCAGGAAGTTTGGCCTTTGAAACATTTCCCTCTGGACCACAGGGGTATGGAACAGGGAGGGAGGTGGAAGGAGCAGAAGGTTTGAAGATTTTAGGTTGCAAAGGCTAAAGCTCCTCAGTCGTTAGATGATGCTCTCCCGGGCATCAGGGTGGAGGGGGGCTAAAGCTCAAACCCATGTCTTTGCAACAGGGAAGAGAGAAAATTCAACTTTTGAGTGATGTCTCAGAAGTTTCTTTCGCTCAATTTTGCCCCTTCTGGCTCAAAAATGAATGAAACGTTTCCAGAGCAAGCTCCCAAGGCGTCAAGCTGAAACTTTCAAACCAAGTTCCTGCCAGTTCTTTCTAGGAGCTCCCGAAGTTGTGTCCTGGTACCGCGCTCTCGGGAAGCCGGGAGCGGAGTGGGGAGCGGAGTGGGGAGCGGAGTGGGGAGCAGAGTGGGGAGCGGAGTGGGGAGCAGGGGCAAACCCGCGAAGGGGGGCGGGGGCGGGAGACTGCGGGGCGAGAACGGGGTGAGCACCACATGTGGCTTTAATCTCCAACAGCTGCTGGAGGGCCTAGCCCCGCTGCTCTTTCTGTACCCCCCCCCCCGCCACAATCCTAGGTTTCAAGCGTTATTGTAACTAAAGGGACTTCGCTGCCAGGGAATCTGAACGATGAACCCACGCTCCAAAAGAATCAAGGATTTAAAAAAAAAAAAAAACTAAAAACTAAATGTACCTGAATGTAGCCAACTGAGTTTAATCAAGACCAAGTGTTAAAAATCCCAGGGGAGGAAGAGTGGGGGGTGGGGGGGGGGACACACAGTGCGACCCAACGGGCCAGGGACGGAGGTAGAGAGCAGTGAGCAAAGCTGGGGTGGCGGGGATTCCCCGGGCAGGAGTGTTCCGGAGCGACGTGCGGGCGCCCGCAGACCTGCAAGTGCGGGAGCGGCGGGGAGAGCATCAGCATCCGCTGCAGGGGCCCCGCGGGGGCGGGGGGTGTCGGCGATGCTCGGGCCCGACCCCCCGCGGCCTCTCGGGGCTCGGCGGCCGCGCGGGGACACACTCACCGACACCAGGAACTCCAGCGTGCCCACGTAGTCCCGCTCGGTCTTCTGGAGCTCGCTGAGCACGCACACGCGCAGCCGGAGCTGTTTCTCCAGGTCCTTGGCGCTCTCGGCGCGGCAGTCCCCGCGGCTCTCGTCGCTCATGGTCCGCAGCGCCGCGCGCCCCCCGCGGCCCGAGGGCAGAGTGGGCGCCGCCGACAAGTCCGAGGAGCTCCGGGCGCCCTTACATGCTGGGGCGAGGCCGGGGCGGGCTCCCGCTGGGACGCGGGCGCGGGAGGCAGCTCCCGGGAGAGGCGCCCCCGGGCCGGGACCTGCGCGCCCTGCCCCGCGGCTCCGGCCTCACGCGGCCCGGGCTGGAGGGGAGGCGGCTCCGGCAGCGACGGCGGTGACTTGGACGTTCCTCAAATGCTTTGTATCCATGTGACTCCGACCCTTCACCCTTCGCCAAATCTCAGGAAAAAGGAAACAACCCTGGGGAAGTGCGTTGCGTGCCAGCTAACTAAACACACACACACACACACACACACACACACACACACACGCACGCACGGAGTCAGCGCTTGAGATGGAACTAATCGGAGATTCCCAAACCCAGGAGGACGTACTCCAAGACACGGCTCGAGGCTTGCTCCTAGGACTCCCGCCTATTGTTTGGCTTTAATGTGTTTTGTGCAAATCCTGAAGGCAAAGAAACAAGTCCCCACGGTTACATAACTGGATGGGAACAAAACAACCGTGGTATTGACCCTCCCGTCTTTGAAAAGAAACACACTGATTTTTGGTTTTGTTTAGGCACGAAATGGATTTGCTTTTAAAAGCCCCCAACCGAGAAGAAGTCTCAGGGCAGATACCCTCCTGCCTGCGCTTGGAAAGTCAATTAGCATAATAAATGAAGACACTATGGGAAAGTGACAGCCCCGGCCCAAACAATAAACTCCAGACACAATAAGCATCACCCCTGCTCTGTGCTGTTTTGGACGGATGCTTTGCATGTCTAAGACCTTTTTTCAGTATCAAGATAGTATGCAGATTCTATCTCCGGCAAGCATACTTGTGCCAGTTCTGTTTCTAAGAGCTGCTAGGATTTGACACGGTGTCATTGAATGACCAGAACTGTATTGAATGGTGATCAAAGACCTACAGATACGGACGTAGGTATATAGATACGGATGTAGTCTTAGGATTTGAAAAAGGAGACAGAGTGTGCCCTGATTGTAATGTTTATGTTCATTTACCTTTTCTGACTTGGAAACGGAGCCCGGAGCTAATGAGCAACGAATATTTGTAATTCTAAGCCAAATAATTCATATGTATTTTTGTCTTGATATTACTACCCACATTAATTTTTAAGTATCATTTTTTCCTACTTAGAACTTGAAACCGCCCACACTAATGACATTTAAATAAACTGAAGAGTGAATGGTTTTGATGAAAGAAAGTAGCATATTAACTTTTTTTCAATAGCTGAAAGCATTAGCAACACTCTAAAACTTGAAGATGCTTTCCACATTACTTACATTAAAATAGTTACCAGAGACATCTTTTCAGAGCATGGTTTGTGATGAATCGCAAAGAGGGACTGTAATTTTCTTTTTTTTTATTAAAGGCACAGCTTTTGAATGTGTGAGGAGCTGATGGACAAGATATGATCTGCCTTTGTTGTGTGCGTGCCTATCTACAGGTAGCTATGAGGAAAGGACAAATAAGTAAATGGCTTCGCACCTTGTGGCAGAAGAACAAAGGACAAGGAACATTAAAGAGCAGACCTCCCCAACCCCTAGTAAACAATAAACAAAAGAAACAAGCGGAAGACAAAGGAAACACACATCCAGCAATGAATGGGAAAATCAAACATGATTGAGCCTTTTCACAATGTGCTACAGGCAGTAAGGAATAAATGCATTTCCTCCTTCTTACATCTGTACCCTTCTCTAATGTAAAAACTAAGTAAATAAATCATGCTTTCCACCAGGTGTTCTCATAGATAAAATATTTTTTACCAATTGCCCCCAATTGAACTGTTTGTGCAATTATCCTTCTATCAAAAAAAAAAAAAAACTAGTCTATATACAACTATAGCTTCCGTATTACCTCTGAGAGCAGTATGTTGAGCTTGAATCTCCAGTGGGCTTTTACATACTCAAAGCATTTGCCTCATTCTACAAACATGTATTGAGTACTTCTATGTGTATCGCATGGCGCTATGGCCTGAGGACCACTGAGACTTGATCTCTAGGCAAATATTTCTGGAGGTAGTTCACAGACCGTTACACTGAGGTCTTGTTAGACATTTCTGGGCCCCATCCTAAATTTATTAAATGAGAATCTCAGAGATCCAAGCCCTAACCTCTTGTGATAAGGTCTTCAGATTATTCTTAGGCCCATTATTATTTGAGAGCCACCATTCTAAAGAATTATAATTGAGTGGAAGACAGTGTTATACATAAGTAATTCTCTTAAAAGGAAACTGCATGGCATGTTTTGAAAAAAGGTGCAAGGAAGTTAGCAAATGATAGTCAAGTGTGCAGACTCAGATGTCTCTCAGAAGTGCCCATGTAGAAATTATTATATTAACAGTTTCTTCCCATTCTTCTGTTCCTCGGTGTATTCCTCAACCTCATTTGTAATTAATAAACAGCTTCAGAAAACCATGTAGTAAAAAAAAAAAAAAAAAAAGAAAAGAAAAGAAAACCATGTAGTGCCTTCTGCCAGGCACCTCTCAGTGTCTTCTGTAGCCCTGGAAGGAGTTCTTAATTCCTTATCAAAGACATAAGAGCATAAGAAAACAGGGCCAGAGTATCTGGAAACCTTCACTTTGATGGTAAATAAGGTCTTTCAGAAACTCTGAATGTGTTATATCCCTCCCTACTTCCTCTATTGAAACGTTAAGCTTTGTCTGCCAGGAAAAGGAAAGCAACAACAAAAATGATGGACAGGATCCAGTTTTTTCCTGAAATCCTAATGAGGTGGAAGCATCCGATAAAAAAGAGATGGGAGAAAAGAAGATAGTGAGAAAAGTCCGAGTAGTAAACTAGCTCAGCCATTAAATGTATTTCGTATGCATGAACTTGGTGTGGTTAGAATTTATTATTATACCGTTCAAAGAGCCAAAGTACAATGCACAGTAGATATTCTTTAGTCAGGCTTAGAACAACTCCTGGACAGAAGAATCCAAGGTGGTCTTTTCACAAAAAGAGAGCTCCCAGCTTGTATTTCTGATGGAGATCATTTTAGCTTCCCTGCATTTCAATACTAGTGTTTGCCAAGGTAAAGTAATAAACCAAATTTGATGTGGAAGTTATTAACAGACAGCAGCACTGGGGAAGAAAAGAAGAAAGAAAGATTGCTTCATTGCATGGCCACCTTGTTAAACAGAATTCAGAGTCAGATTTTTTTTATATACAAGTGAAATTGATTCTGGCATTTCCTTTACTAACTCTGGCCTATGATAGATGATTCTAGATTATACTAGTATAAAAATATTATAGATTTACTTTGAAACTATATAAAGCACAGTTAAGAGTCTCAGACAAGGAGTTCTAAAAATACTTACTATTTAGGATCCCTGGGTGGCGCAGCGGTTTGGCGCCTGCCTTTGGCCCAGGGCGCGATCCTGGAGACCCGGAATTGAATCCCACATCGGGCTCCCGGTGCATGGAGCCTGCTTCTCCCCCTGCCTATGTCTCTGCCTCTCTCTCTCTCTCTGTGACTATCATAAATAAATAAATTAAAAAAAAATAAATAAAAATACTTACTATTTTAGTTACGTTTTTAGCTATAACAAGCATAGGATATACTAGAGTATGTATATAATTTGCATTATACCGGGCAGCCCCTGTGGTGCAGTGCATAGCGCCGCCTGCAGCCTGGTATGTGATCCTGGAGGCCCAGGATGGGGTCCCACGTCGGGCTCCCTGCATGGAGCCTGCTTCTCCCTCTGCCTGTGTCTCTGCCTCTCTCTCTCTGTGTCTCAATAAATAAATAAAATCTTAAAATTAGAGGGATCCCTGGGTGGCGCAGCGGTTTAGCGCCTGCCTTTGGCCCAGGGCGCGATCCTGGAGACCTGGGATCGAATCCCATGTCGGGCTCCCTGCATGGAGCCTGCTTCTCCCTCTGCCTGTGTCTCTGCCTCTCTCTCTCTGTGTCTCAATAAATAAATAAAATCTTAAAATTTTTTTTTAATTTGCATTATACCAATTTAAGGATTTTAGAATATGTATTACCCAAGGACAAAATATAGTTTCATAGCCATATTTTAATTTTAGATACAATGTTTATGGCATAGCAAACTACATAAATGTTTGAATAGGATTACTTTAGGAAGATTTTTAAATTCTTAAAAATGCGATCCTTTCCAAAACTAACTTGATCAACCCCAAATCATCCTCATGGCCATAATCTAACATGTAATGGATAATCACTTTCCTTATTATGGAAACTTAACCTATAACCATTCCTGTAAAATAAACAGCCAGATTTGTCTGTGATTAGTCTCAGAAGAATATTATCCTTGCAATGTACCATCTGCCTGCTTAGCCTTTCCTTCCTTTAAACATCCTCTCCAACCTCATATACCTCAAGCTACACCTTATTTCTCTCCTCCCCATAAAAAACTCCTACTTAGTTGTCTTGTTTCTTGTATTACACTCTAGTGTGTTCTCACCTTGAAGGACACACTAGAAAGTGTTAATATAATGTTTGATTATCAATATTTATATATAATATATAATCTACATGCAGCATATATTTGATTATATATTATTATATTATTAAGAATAATATATAATTATATATATACCTATATACACCTATATATAGTCAACATTATTATATACTATATAAGTATATATGACACATAATATATATAATTTTTATAAATTATCTATTTTTCATGTCATTGCCTGCTTGTCTTATCCTGATTCCCTCAGAAAGGAGAGAGTGAGACAAAAGCTAATGTGAAGATAGTGTATAGTATGATAATGTGATCCTGAGGGGTAGGAGTGAGGAAAGGAAAAGTAAAACAGAGAAAGAGTGAAAGCCAATACGAGAAGACATACAGAGCTGACCATCCCATGGGAATCTAGATGCTCTGTTTCTACAGGACCTTCTGAGTAGTCTTATGAAATACATCTCAGAAATGTCCTGGGGGAAGAAAGAGGGAAGCATTTGCTCATCATTTCTTATTCCCAGTCGGTCAAGGATTGCCCCATAAGACATTCATAAGACCCTGTACTTGCATGTTGCCAATGCATGAATGCTTAGAGGTTCTTATAAATACAATTGGAGCCAGGAAGAAAGAAGGGTGAAGTGCTCTTAGAGACTGTTCCTGTATGAAATTGGTGTGAGCATTTGAAGAACTGCATCCATGGTCATCAAGAATAAGAGAAGAGGCCAAGAGAGTTTTTCCTGGAATACAAGAGAGGTTTGATTCTGCTTCAACCCCTCAGGATGAAGGAAAGTGTCATTTATGACCCAGTCTCTCTGGCTTCATTCCATGCCACCCCCCTCTTCTTTGCAAACAAATCCCAGCCACACAGAAGTACTTTCAGAATTTTTACAATGCCAAGCTCCATAGCACAGTCCTTTTTCCCTATCATAGCATCAATTCACTTCATTATAATTGCC